ACCCAGGATGCTCCACGGCGCCGTAATAAGATGAATTGCCCTACTAGCCCATGAATTAGAAATGGGTTATTTTAGAGGCTAATTATAGGTGTCTTTATAGCTTGGCTCTTGCTTTTTCCCCCGTAAATAATTTGAGTAAATAACGGTTTGACAATACATTACCGCACTAAATCACGTTAAACGTGCCCTTTAACGAATAAATCTAATGTATCTCTTTGGTCGTATCTGTGGCTCCCACCCAAGCACCCAGATAAATGATGTTTCGTAAACTTACCCTCAACAACACCGCATAAAAACTCGTGTCGCCCCTCCATCATCGCTGTGATTGTCTGTCGGGATGCTCAGGATGCGGATGCTTTAGTCTCTCCGCGCCTTCAGCCGCGCATCCTCCCCTCCGACACACACAGAGTGTGCGAACTGAAGCCGCAAGGCATGAAGATAGAGAAGAATTGCGTTTATTATTGCTGTTATGTGTTGTTTTTTAGAAATCAAACATTGGCAAACTGTCAAACGTGGACGTTTCTTGTCTATGTCAGCCCGGTTCTGCCTCCCAGGTCTATTCGCTCAACGCACTCTACGTGTTGTTGCCAGATCACGCAAGACAAACAAGCAACCTTGCTCCAATACTTCATTTCGCTTCAAATTAATCATAGAAATCATTGGATCACTGGGTAAGTAAAATAGAATTAGCAAGGATGAATTGAAACTTGCAAAAACAAAAATGTTAAAATGATGAATTTTCAATAAATGTATCGTTGTACAAAAATAATTAAAATATTTCACATAACTGGCCATCTCAATCAATCTCCGTCTTTGTGGAGCGACGCTTGAACAGTAAGTAGTGGTAGATCGCAATGACATTTTAACTGTTTTATCAATGTTTTCTTGTTTTAAAACCCATTCACGCCAAAAACAATAACTTTAAGAATAACGATAACTATATTAGCAGCCACATCAAGGGATAATAACATTCTGTTTTATTATAAGAGTTGCAGTTATGTCATCTGCTTCTTAAAGTGCTTGAGTTTATTAAAACGCGTCGGAAACTAATTCTGAAAGTGATTCAAACCACATTATTCCAATAATAATGAGTCCAATAAGTCCAATAAAACTTGCATTAGCCCATTATTATAAGAGACTTTATGAAGAAAAAAGTCCATATTAGCTTAAATTATGCGGACATGGCAACACTGACTCCATTAGAGCATCTCGCGCCATCTAGCGGCCAGCGTGTCTCATCAACACACAACACATTTCAAACACTGCTGTTCGCAGTTGGATTTTCCGAAATAACATTGAATTAGGAATGAATTAGGCTTGATTATGAATCGCGTACGTTTTGAGTTAAAAATAAATGATCAAAACAAACTTTTATACATATATGCTGTGAATCTGGCTCCTTTCGGCGAATGTTATTTATGGTTGTCTTGGTTACACAGTGCAACCGACTCAGGGAGTGGAAAAGAATGAAGAACTAGACTGATTCGGTAGGCTTCATTGGGCTAGTAACGTTGAATACGTTAGAAATCCTTTAGTCGTGCTGTATGCGAGTTAACAGCTTGTCTAGGTGGTTTCAGGATGTCATCAAAGAAGATAAGCGAGTCAAAGAGCCAGCAGGACGCAGGTGTCTCGGCTGAGAGCGATGGACAGGATGAGAGGCAGATGCTGTTACACAGAGAGTGAGTTATCTGTAACTGTTAGAGATGCAAAGAACATTTGGAATCACTTTTGATGTAGACAGTACGTCAGTCTAGTTAATATCGCTTTGCAACCCACAGATATGAGACCCTAACTGAGAACCTATGCACACTGAAGAGGAGAGTTGAACAAAAGTATCCTTTTGCACAAACAGAAACATAATTCCTTGCTGAAACCACATTACCGTGGTTAGCTTGTCTCCAGACAAGTCTGGTTTGATGGTTTTAGAGGAGTTTATAGCACTTGCATCTGGTCGGGGATGAACCAGCTTAAACCAGCTAAGACCAGCTAACCATTTTATACTATTAAAGCAATTGTATGTAGTTTTGTGGGAAAGAAACAGAAGCCAATCACCTTTTTAGAAGTCAGTGTACCATCATAATGATTTTGAAATTGGAATGATTAAATCCTAATACAGTCCAGCCCAGTAACTCTAACTGACAGATATGATTGGCGTGCATTTATGTCAGTGTTTGAAAATTTAACACACAATCAACTCCAGACGAAAAGAAAATGAATTTCTTCAAAATGAGATAGCTCAGAGCCGTATTGAAAGTGTAAGTTCTCACAAATTAACACGGATCTGTATAATTGCTTTTATATATATATATATCATGTTCACAGATATATACAGATCATTCTTGTTCTCTGTGCTGTGCAGAAAGAGTACATGTCATATATGTCTAAAAGAGCAGAGAAGAGGCAGAATGCAATATTGAATTTGAGTGATCAGAGCCATAAGGAACTTGAGGAGCTGCAGAGACAGAGACAGAACATGCAGGATAAACATGAGGAGGAGACCAATGGTAAGACAAGTGTTAATGCGTCTGTACAGGAAATGGAAATGAAGAATTAATGTGTGATTATAATGTACTGTAAATGACTGAAGATGCAGTTTGTCATATGCTTTCTTGGTTACAAATCAATTCACAAGTGGGTGCAATTAGTACTCCGCTAGATGCTATTAAAACATCAAATGTTGCACTTCAGATGTGTGTTGGTTGTGTTTTCAGAGTTGCAGATAGAGATCCTGCAGACGGAAAATCAGCTGGCCCTGCTAAATAGTGAAATTGCAGACCTGAAAGAGGTTAAGGTAGCAGGATCTCTTTTCTTATTTTTTGTGGGCATTTGTACTGGGGTTAAATTGTAATGTAATTTGGATTTTCACATCCTGTTTATATGAAGGGTCTTCTACCTTTTTCTAACTAAGCGTCATTTGATGGATAGACAAATGGAACAGGGTACCTATTGGTACATATATAAAATGTATTTATGCATTTTAAACTTGGCCTTTAATAACACAGACTAAATACCATATTTGTGTATTTACATATATTGAATTGCATATCCATTTGAATAATCATCATCATTTTTTTATCACACAGATTTTCATTTAAAAAGAAAAAAGTTTTTCATATCAAACATCAATTGACAGACCCCTGCATTAACACTGTGGTCCTCATTGGAGTCACAGACCCCCTTTCAAAGACGCCTGACTTTTATAGCATTTTCATTTAATATGAACTAGTGGAATCAATTATAAAAAAAAATTCAACGCATATTGAACTGAATAGTTTCTGAAATAAGTGGAAACTTGTGTCATTGTTTTCAAATTGACAATGTTTTCATACTGCACTGAGGTGGAATGTTTTTTTTACATATGTATTCGTGTATTATATGTGTCGTAGACTCTAAAACAGCAGCAGTCGTGTCGTATCACTGAGCTGGAGAAGGAGCTGACTACCATGCAGTGTCATCATTCAGAGTCTCTGGTGGCTCTCAAGGCTGACTTCATTAAAAAGAGGAAGAGCTGTGAGCAACAGGCAGAAGACACTGTGCATGCTCTCACTATATCAGCCAACAAGGTGAGTGAATGCTGTTGTGAATTCAATCAGTATAATTGTACAGTTACATCACCATAAGTTACCAGGTCAGGATATTTTCTTTCCCTTTTTCCCAGGAGGCATCTCACTCCCTGATGTCCTATATAAATAAAGTGTTTCAGGAGAAAAAAAGCCTGCATGAGGAGTATAAATTCCTTTTCCAGAGAGCTCTAGCTCTACAAAAACAGCAGGACGCTCTGCAGACTCATCGACAGCAACTGCTGCTGGAGCAAAAGTGTATGCAGAAGATTCATGCCCAACGTATTTCCCTACCCTCAAAATACGCAACACCAGCCGGTGCAAACAATAACGAACACCCCCAGAGTGACCACCAGTAACTGGCAATAACTGGAGCCAGTTCAGTTACAACAGTTGCTTTCAATAAACATACAAAGATTATTGTATGACTCAAGAGAAGTATTTGCTGAAGTGAGAAAAAACTTTGCTTATTGACCTCTTTACTATCTCAGATGGTCAAGATACAGAAAGAGCAACGGCTGGTCCAATATTTTGTCAGAAATATGTCAGAAATTCATATACAAAGAGGTGTGTCAATAGGCAACAGTTCAGGTGGCGCTTTTTTCTCAAATCTTGTTAACAAAAAAGAGGAAAAAACTTGCTCTCTCAGAAATGGTCTCTCTGATCTACAGTGCTTTTGAAATCAAAAGTGCAGACAATATACTGTACAAGTACAATGAATTAATTATTTTTATGCTTGATCTCTGCAGCTATAGGAACTTATCCACTGATCATTGTAGATGAGTTTGATCATTCAGGAAGGCTTTGTCTGCTATATGAATGTGAAGGTTGGAACCCTAAACCTGAGCTTCAGTGGCTGGACAGTAAAGGAGAGAATTTTACTTCTGATAATGAAGAGACACATAAAGATGCGAAGGGCTACAGCGTGAAACACAGGATCACTGTGCATGACAGTGAGACCAAGTATCAGTGTAGAGTCAAACTGAGACATCATATGGTGCAAACTGACATTATTGTCTCAAGTAAGTATGAATTGGGTTTGTCTGTCTCAAATTTCCAAGGTAATGTGATGCAGTCATAATGATTCAGAATTCATTACGATTTAATCACAGATTTTCACATTTATTGTACAGAAAATGCCTAAATTCATGTTTATAATTTGCATATATAATAAGTATACAGGTGCATCTCAATAAATTAGAATGTCGTGGAAAAGTTCATTTATTTCAGTAATTCAACTCAAATTGTGAAACTCATGTATTAAATACATTCTATGCACACAGACTGAAGTAGTTTAAAGGGGTGGTTCACTGGGTTTTTTTCTAGGCTTGATTGTGTTTATGGGATGCAGTCTAACATGT